GGCCAGCTGCAAAGAATAGACACTGTAAGGAGTTCAAAAATGCCTACACTCAAAAGAAAAATTCAATACTGAGACTTATATCGAGGATAAGACAATCAGCTTTTATGTACAGGGGTCAAAAGTATTGATGACATTAGCCTAGAAAGATAACTTATATCTAAGTGGGTCGCTGTGTGTATTTTGCTTATGCCAGCAGTTTGCAGAAGTGACAGAAAATTAAGATACCACAAGCCTTCACCTATGAGTCCATATTGAAGAGCCTTCGAAAGGCTTATCTAGAGTACTGGAGAAAACTGTCAAACAACGTCAAGACACCAAAATCAATGCTGTTACAATGAAGAGTTTCCCTTTGAGAACCTTGAGTTCTTCCTGCCAACACAGGTTCTGAAAATCTCTCCCTTTCCTTGAGCCAACATACCATCCTAAGGACAGCAATAAGCAAGTGTTTCTGACTCAAACACGCTTGCAGAGAACAGTGGGGTTTAGGCTTTCTGATTTAAATTTGTACCATGACCCACTTGTTCTGAAGTAGGTCAGTCTGTGGTATGGTAAACTCAATCAGAAAGACCAGCCCAAGAGAGTCTGCGTTAAGGGAAAGATGCAGAAAGCCACTTCCTATTTCTGTTATGTCAGCAATGGGTACAGTGAAATTTTGCTAAGGGAAGTTTTTGTGTGCTGTCCTTTCTCACAATTGTCACATCTGTCAAATGCAGAAGGACTGGGCTCCGATACTTCCGTGTTTCTGCTTGTTGAATTAAATGAGTTTATGTAATTTTTTCCCAAGGTTGTTTTATTCTGGCATAGAAGACCTGCTTCCTCCTGCCCAAACAGACTCATACATTCCTCTGTGCATTGCTGGGGCTCCTTCTCACTTCTGCTCTGTTATTTCCAAAGTTAATCATGACACCACAGCCATGAAAAATGCTAAAATTCTGTTACTCCTATAAGGAACGTGGTCTTCTGTGAGTTTGCTGTTGGCTAGGTAAGAGCTGTTCGAGGAGAAAGAACTGACAGTGTGTTACAGAACAAACTGTTCTCTTTCCTGAAGACTGTTTTTCAGCTTTGCATGACTCTTATCATCAATTTAAAAGTCTCAAAATAAAATCAATTTACTAGTTGCAATTTGCCAAGAAATTGTGTCACCTACGAGTTTCTGTTCACACAAACAGTCGCATGTGCTGTTTGCCTACAGTGAGATAATAACAAGTAGTAGACAGGAACAGTAGTTCTCCTCTTTGGTCTTTTCTTCCATCTTTCATCTCTGACAAACTGCTTGCATATCCCATGCAGTCAGGCAATTCCATACCCTCTGACTTGTTTCAGTCAAATTTTCATGTCGTGAGTTGAATTGATAACAAACAAAAACCCTCGATGCAAAAAACTCAACAAGATATACTGATCTTACCATTCCTGAGGCAAAATCAGAAATGCCTATAATCTTTCTTTCCATGGCCCAGACCATAGGGGGCTGAAGACCTTTTAGTTAAGTAGAGCTCAGTCTCATCTAGTCAAACGGCAAAGCTGATGGTTTTGGGTAATTACGTGAATATTCTGTGGTCAGATCGTCTGAGCTGCAAGATGAAAGCCAGTGAGTTTTCCAGATGCACCCATTGAGAAAAACAGAAGAGCTCTTCTACATATACATCATACACAATTAGGTCAAACCATGAACCAGGAGGAAACAAAAACTCCTGATAAATAACAGGATTTCGAGTCTGCAATAGAATTGAAAGCCACTTGGTTTTAGAAAAAACTTCACTCAAGTAGGAGGGTGTTCATCTATCTCACCGCTGGTTTTAATTTAAAAAAAAACCAAAATAACTCATTTGTGGTGTTCTGTTTAATTTTTATAGTGCTCTCACCGCTGGTTTTAATTTAAAAAAACCCCAAAATAACTCATTTGTGGTGTTCTATTTAATTTTTATAGTGTTGTAATTTATTAAACATTTCATGTAAGCCATTATGTTTTCTATATACCTGTTTCAAGACCAGGTGGAATAGGGTTGGATGAGGCTCTGAGCAACCTGGTCTAGTGGAAGGTGTCCCTGCCCATGGCAAGGTGGTTGAAACTGGATTATCTTTAAAGTCCCTTCCAACCCAGAGCATTCTACGAGTCTATATGCCTTCACTAAGTGTGGTAGTCCTATTACATTGTCTTGTTTTCTAAGTTTCTTCACCATCATTTTGAAGTTCTTCATGTGGATATGCAAGACAAAATGTCTGTATATCATCCATGAATTGTGATCAGCAACTTGGCACTTTCAAATTCATAAAACACTTTTGCCTGCTCTTATACCAGTTTGGAGGATGCTATTGAGTGAGCAACTCTTTGAGATTTGAAGTATCTCAGATACTTCTGAGATCCACCATCTCTGAAAGACATTCTGACCATTTATTCCTAGTCATAACTACACGATGCATTCAGTTGTTGCCAGAACACATAATCATGTTTTTCAACCAGCTCTATTAAATGTACATTTGAAAAAACAAATCACTTTACTAGGACATATGGCTAAAAGATTATTATTTTTCAGATATGCATAACAAATTTTACATGAATGTTTTGATTTGTATCCCCTAAATACACCCTTATAACAAAGCTTATTCACACATGAGAAGCTGCTGTGTTTGAGTGAATAACTGAAGTCACTACATACACTGACCACTCTACAGCTCTGATTTATCTGCCACATGAAATCTATCAATCATTCTCAACTTCCCATTTGCTTACTCTGTAAGTTTATAGTGCTCTCACTACCTCTGTGCCTGACCAATGACCCTGCAAGGATATTAAACTACTAGTTTAATCTTGACACTGTAATTGGCAATTTCACTGAAAATAGGACCACACAGTTGAACCCATGTCCACTGCTGCAACTCTAATTAGATGACTTGATCAGTCAGTGCACAGCACCTTGCTGTCTGCTCCCCTCAGGTATGAGTCTGTAGCTCCTAACAGATAGTGATGTTTCTCTGATCTTGGCACCTAATGATGCTACCTGCTGTCACCTCAATATTTGTTTTATGAAGTCTTGGTACAGAGTTTATCCCCTTGCAAGCCACGTTCCTTCAAGAACAATATATGTTTTGATTAAATTTTATCATCCAAAAGATACAGGAAGAGTCAAGTACTTGTACTAAAGCATCCTACACATAACATTTTTGCCTACACATAAACGTTTTGCCTTGACTTATGGGCAGGTGGCCAGGAGAGAAGACAGTTACAGTTTGAATCACAAGTGTACTTAAGGTTTGGCAGAGAAATTAGAAATGCTTTGTGCTCTGTTTTGTACACTTTGGTACATGCCTTCACTCATCATGGTCCCCCAACTGCACTATTGCAGTGTTTCATGTTTCCTAAATTCCTTTATCCTGTAGTTGTCTGTTAAGTGGATCCTCAGTCAGCCTTTCTCACCAGGAAGCCCAAGTGCTTACCATGAGCGAGTCTAGAGGAGGCCACAAAGTGGCTAAGAGCACTGGAGCATCTCCCCTATGAGGACAGGCTGAGGGACTTGGGGCTGTTCAGCCTGGAGAAGAAAAGACTGCTTGGAGACCTCAGATCAACTTTTCTCACTTAGAGAGAACTGTCAATTCCCATATGCACAAAGCCACAGTTAGATTGCTTAAGTTCTAGCAAGTTTTGAAACCAGCAAACAAGAGCCTTACACTCATGAGCATCCTTTTAAAAGCCCAATACCTCTCAGCTCCTCTCTCAAGGGCATCAAAAATACTTTGCATTTGAGTTTAAATTAAATTCAAATTAATGCCTGTGTCCCTATTACTAAAAGGAACCAAAAACCAAAGTGTAAATTTATATGTAAGATTGGTGCTGATAGTGAGAGGACTACACCTACACACCTACATGGCCACGTCCCTGAAGTTCACGTGGGCCATGTAATAGCACATAAAAACCTAAGCAGCCTTCCCCATTCAACCTGTACCCATGTCCTACCTTCCATGAGGTCCCACTGCCTTTTTCAGGCTCCATGGACCTCCATCAAGGGATCCTGCATCAGGAAAAGCTCATTGTGCTAGAAGCCATAGGATACCATAGGAAACACACACGAAGGGGAGGAAAGTACTGTAGATTTCTCCTCTAGAGTTAGTCCTTTGAGTTGAGAGTAGATTGTGTTACCATAATCAATCCTCCTCACTGGATGACCTAGAAACTTGCCCAGTAGCAACATGTGTAAAGTCCCTCCTGAATGAATAGTGAAACTGGTCAGAGAAAGTCTCTCAAGTCTGAACAAGATGAAACTGAGCTAAGAACAGGTCTTCACATTAAGCAAAAGTTTGTTACACAGCAAGTGTGTGGGGGTAAGAAAGGAAATATATCCTATGGAGTAATAGCTACCCCTAGGGCAAACAAAATGAGCAAGGTGGAAAGTGCTTTAACAGGTGTCAACACACTTGGGTGATTGTTTCTGCTGGAGGCTCATAATAAGCAAAGGATTTAATTTCAAGGAAGAGTCACCTTATTCAGTTTAAAAAAAAACCCAAATATTATCACGTAGAGAGTTCAGATTTTAACATTCATTTTTTTATTTAACTCCAATTTCCATTTTTTCCCCCCAAACAGACTTTGTTTTACAATAGCTCAGAAAGTATTATAATGCTAAATACAGCTAAATGGAAACATTTGGGCACAAGAGAGTAACAAAATAAACAGAATAAATAACCTGCTTTACACATGCCAAAGAAACAAAAAATAACATGCAATAAACTTATAGAATTCACATTCTGTACAACAGCTTAAGGTAGTCTCATGTCATATGAGTAACATACACATAATAGTAAAAATAGAAACTTCAACCAAATCCTTCATTCAAGCAAAACAGTGATGCAATATGAATCAGCACTAGATGCTCAACGGTTCCAACGAAGCCAGAGTTAGAGGTCAGTAAGCACACAACAGTGTACAGGATGATGATCTCAACCAAGAGGTTGAACCTAATGGTTCTTCAGCCACGTCTGTGTTTAGTTCCTTGCTGGAAACTGCTTCAGACTGCCATCTTCCTAAGCCTCTGGCTGTAAATGAAGGAGAGAACACACATAAATAATGACCTCAGCCACAGGTTGATTATAGGGTTCTATTCTTCTCTGAGAGAATAGCTCAGGTAGAAAAAGAGACATGACTGCCATTGAGAAGACTCTACAAAGGAGTAGGCAAGTCTGAAAGGAGATGGAAAGAAATGTGTTCACCATTGCCATCAGAAGGGGCATTCAGGAGGTGTAAGAAATGAGCTTTAATACATGCCCTGTTTTCACCAGCCTTGGTAGTATTTAGATGTTTCGATTCCTACCTCAGGAAAAGAAGATGCTTCTTCACCCAGTCATCCTTAGGATTTGCACAGGCCTTCAGCCCCCTCTTGGTGTGGAAACTGGAAAAGAAATAACCAGAAAGAGATCAGTAAATCATTAGAAATCCCTGCTAGCAAGTACTATGAAGATGCATTTTGTCCAAAAATTGCATCATAGTTACTCTATACAATGAACAACAGCAACTGCTTTTGTAAATGCTCCAGACTCCTCCAATATTATAGGAACAAAAAGAAAAACACCTGATGAAATTTAAATATAATAGCTGCCTCAGTCTCAGAGGTCCTTTTTTGAACCATAAAGTTGTGTTCAATTTATTGAATCTATTGAGACAAAGACCTGTGCTGGATGCAAGAAGTGATTTGGGAGATTAAGGAGAATAGTTACTGTCAAGATAAGGTGACAGATCAACATTTAGGGGGGGTCAAAACCTTCTAGAAGAAAAAAAATTCTGATTTCTATGAATCAAGTGATCTGTTGGCACTTATGTGTCTGCTAAGAGGTTCAGCAAGGAAATACCTTGTGGTGGCTAGAGTGGCTCTGAGCTGGAGTCAAAACATGTTTTTGTTTGCACAGCTGATCCCTTAACAGTCAGACTTATTATTGACATTGTATGACTGTCCCAGGAGCTAGAAGTTCCTATCAACTCAAGGCTGGTTGTTTTGTTTACAGCTATTATACACAATTTAGTCCATTAATTTAGCTCTTTGAAAAAGCAAGAAAAATCATGATTACCACATTCCAACCATTGTTTCTGCACAAAGAGACATCCTAAGGTTAATACATATGTCAGAAAAACCAGAGGATCTTCTGAAAAGTAACTTACATGATTGCAGGGATATCACAGACTTCACTGGAGAGCTGCTCAGTGTAACCCTTCAGGGCCCAGCGAGGCAGACGCACTTTGGTGTAGGACAGGCAGCAATCCTGGTTGCTTTGTGCTGGAATGAAGGGAGAGAACAAGGTTAATCAACCACACTTGGCCCACACTGCCAATGCTCTCTAGGGTACTCACTCTTCAGCCCCCTGACTATTCAAGATTCCTCTTGACAGAACCTTGACAGACTCTGTTGAACACATTCTCTCCCACCTCACCCTCAGAGCATGGAGAACACCTTCCTGGGGCCAAGCACCCAACTTCACTCACCTTCGGAGGTGCCGCACAGGAGCAGAGCCACGAGCCCCAGCAGAGAAACCAAGACCAAGCTCTTGCTTTTCAAGCCAGCCATTGCCACTCCACACAGAGCTGTGCTGCAGAGAGGGCTCAGCTGCTGCCTGCCTGTCCTGCCAGCCCTGCTGCACCTCCACCTGCTTATAAAGGGGTGGCAGGAGCCACGGGAATTCACACCCGGGCGGGTTCCACTGTCATCACTGGGTTTCCCCACAGCAAATTCCATTGCACCCGTTTGGCCCCAGCACACCTTCCTGGTACTATAACCAGAGATAACAGTGTGCTGGGGAATATTTTTTTTTAGCGTAGCTTAAAAGATTCGGTCTAAAAGAAAAGGAAATAAAGGGCTGTGAGGTAATGGTTCTGTGGGTGAAGCACATGTAGCAGTAGGGGTAGGAGTGTGGGTTATGAAATGAGGAAAGTCAAACGTAGGTAACTCCCAATGTTACCTACAGAAACTGTGTGTCTGCTGTGCTCTAGTTTAAGAAGCCCAACTTGGGGGCAGAGAGAGGTGATTCATGTCAGCATGGCATGCTCAGGAGCTGGCAGTGATACCAAAGCACTGCATTAATATTTGCTGGTTGACTGGCACAGCAACATTAGGTTTTCCACATTGCTGCATTCTGAGCTCTAGACTGTTGGCAAGGACATGTGAGCAACACTGAGTCTTCATGGAAATGGGTTTCTTTAGTTTTATTCGCCATATATTCCCTGCTGTCGCTTTCTGCCAGTTTGTTACACATCTGAACTATTTCCTCTGAAACAGAGCAAGCTTAAAAGCAACTTGAAAGAGGGTCTATATTCTCCACTGAATCTGTATTGTCCAGGATGCATTAATGCTACTTCAGGAGCAATAGCAGTAACTTGTTGCTTTCCCATCCCAAACTGTACCCAAGTATTGTGACTCCTGACCATTCAACAAAAAGAACCAAAACAAAAAGCACAAAATCTTAACATTGCTTCACATGACTTGAGAAAACCATCAGGGAGATGCTCTATCATCATTGCAAGTGCAGTGTGAGCTGCTACTGAAGGGTGGTACTTTCCCAAGCTGTTTAGGGATCTGTGGGAAACTACTGGGATGGCTGTAAGCCATGACCATCAGACAGTGTACACAGGAGCTGCCACTGGCTCCAGGTGGTTATAGATTAACCTCAGCCTTAAGTGGCTTCTCTTAAGGTAGAGCTCATGTTCACAGTCATAGGCAGTCCATAATAACATACCTTCTATCCTTGAAGTATCTCTTTCAAAGGATGAGTCCCTATTATTTCTTTCTAGAAGTGTAAACAGTTTGAATTATAGCACAGATTGTTATTCCAAGAAATTTATTTCTCTATGCAAGAGCCAGATTTTAGGGAAGTTTTTCTATCTGGGGTGCACATGAGCAGCCTTGCAGCATTCATGGCATCACATGCTGGAAATGCTTCTCAGCAGAGCCACAGCCACTGGCCAAGGGACAGGGGAGGAGGCTGCAAAGAACCCATGCCCTGATGTATCCTGCTTTTTGTAACTGCTTTATGGATCATAGGGAAATGCCATAAAAATACATAAAGTATGCAGCAATTTCTGTACTGTTTTAAGGACTCTTCCACATTAGGCAGTGCCTCAGAATAACTAACTGGAATGGTACTGCCTGAAATGAGGACAGTTTAACTTAGTAGTTTTCTCCTTTACACACAGATTTCATGGATCCCAAATCTATTATACCTGTACCCAACTTTGGTGTTTCTTGTAGCATATCCTAGGCCATACTGTTATCTAGATGGAGTTGGCCTTGCATCCCAAATCTTCCTACTCTTCCTTCTGTCCTTCTGCCTCTACAGCTCTATTTCATAGAATCATAGAATTTAGGGGTTGGAATGGACCTTACAGATCATCTAGTCCCAACCCCCTGCCCTGGGCAGGGACACCTCCCACCAGAGCAGGTTGCTCAAGGCTCATCCAACCTGGCTGTGAACACTGCCAGGGTTGGGGCAGCCACAGCCTCCCCGGGCGACCTGGGCCAGTGTCTCACCACCCTCACAGCAAAAACTTCTGCCTAATATCTGCCCTAAATTTCCACCCCTTCAATTTGAACCTATTACTCCTTGTCCTATCACTGCAGTTCAGTGCTTTTTGGACAGAATATTCTCCTCTGAGCTTTGACATTCCTACCTAAGCATTAGCAGTTTGGATACCAGAGCAATGACACCACCCAGGCAGTGCTTACCCCATGCTCCTACCCTCAGGCAGTTTTCATCACACTGGTGACCCCCACCAGTGGCCATGGCTGGCAGGATGTCTCATGTCACAACTGGACTTGTGCTCATGGTACTCCTATTATCTCGTGGTTTGTTTGATTTAGGAAATTGGGTTAAGATTTAGATTTAGAATGAAAACCAGGAGAAGTTCCCCTGCTTCAGGAACACTCTCCTGTTTGTAGGCAGTGTGTATAAAGTACCTTCAGTTTGTTTATGCAAAGTAGCTTAAAAAAAAAACTCCAAAAAGGTTTTATGCAAATGACTGAAGAAAAACTCTGCTTGGTCACGGTGTGACGCATAGCTGTGTCTTATCAGCCTTCACCTTTACAAGCTCATAACACAAACTGGAGGGAAAAAAATACAGAAACAGGGAGGTGCTTAAGTGTTCAAAGGACATGGTGATTCCCTGGAAAAGAGGGGAAAGTGAGTCTTGTCCACCCTGATCCAACCAGACTTTCAGCCTGGTTTCACTTAACCCCTGTGTGACCAAATGGGGCCCAGGGACTGCCAGACTGGCAGCAGATTGGGCTGCTGCACTCTGGGGTGGCACCAGCACCTCTGAGCCTGTTCTGGGTCAGTGGTGGGTGGTCACTGCCAGGCCAATACGTTGTGTTTAGAGTCTTCCTGCTCCTGCAATGAAAAGGATGCACATGGAGGTCAGTGAGGAGGCCACAAAGTTGAGGAAGGACATTGTTTCTCTGCCCTGGGAGCTGTAAAGCTGCATGGGGAGGGCTGTGCCAAAGGTCTTCTCAGAGGGGCACAGCCAAGGTAGCAGCCACGAGTTGTGAAAAAGGAAATTCCCATCAGCCATAGCAAAACCCCCTCTCCATGGCCAGGGACTGAAACACTAGGGCAGGCTGCCCAGGAGAGGATGTGAAAGCCCAGTTTGAATACCCTTACACATGCTCAAACATCAGCTGGACATGGCCCTTTCCTGAGCATGATCTTACATGTGATTCCTTCCCAACCCACAATCAAGCCCACATTATTTTTTCTGCCATATTGAACACTGCTTTCCTTTTAGTTTCCTAACTCATGTGTCTTCCTGACTTGACTTTGCTGTAAGGGTGTTCCTCCCTCCTGCTGTCCTTTCTCAGGTCCCTTCACAAACTCTGCTCTCCCTCCCTGATCCCGTGTGCACAGCAGGAAAAAAGCACCAAAACACAGGTCAACAAAGTGTACAGGGAGGCTGAAACCCTCCTGTGTGTATTACATTACATTATGTCTGTTTTCATCCAAAATCTTGCAATATAAGAAGCCAAATGCACATCAGGAATTCAGAACTGTACACGAGCTGGAAAACAATCTGAAGTTATTTGAAACTGTAGCTCCACAATGGTAATCTATTAGACTATGCAGCTCCTAAAAAAGTCCTACAGATGCAAGGCTTAAAACACACTATTCCCTTCTGAAGAGAAAGACAGAGGAGGAATTTTATAAACATCAACTATTTGATTGTTGGACTGCAGGGTGTAGGGTCTAAGATTAAACATGAAAGACTAAAAGTTTTTAAAAAACCAAAAACCCCCAAACATCTCTTACCTGCCTTGGCTAGACACTCTCTGTATCTTTCTCCCCTGCAATAAGATGAGAAACATATTGACAGTTGCTACTTGACTGGCAGTTAGCCATCATTTCCATGTTTAGTCATTCTCACAAAGAAATGTTGGTTTATTGCACATTAATCTTCCTGTCCAAACTGATGAAAATAAAATATTAGAGCAATACACCTGACCAACCAGGAAAACCAGAACCCAACAGGGGAAATTCCCTCCTGTAATTTCCAAAGGTTTGGGGCTCCTTTGACAGAGCAGAGGGCATGAGAATGAACTAGCTGAAATGAACATGGCTAAATGTGGGGATTTAATCATTGCATAATTACTGGTGATTAAATGCATACTAAATCCCAAGCATAAAAACTCCACTGGCAGCTTGCTCAATATCCTGGAGCTCTGGGGACTGTGATGCAATCCAGTGATTTCATGCTTGCATGACTGACAAAAATCGTTATCTGAAGGAAGAAGCCAATTTTCACTAATTATATGTTGCACTATGTAACTCAGAGATCTAGAAATACTATTGAATGACATTGTTTTGCTGCAATTATGTCCCAGAGGGCTTCAAGACAGACTCACCTCTGGACAAGGCCAAGTCCATCACCAGCAGTGGCAGCACCTCCAGCAGAACATTTTCAGTAGGGGTGGTAAAAAACCTGCACAACTGCTGCCAGAGAGAGGAGTAAGTAGATGTGAGAAACCACTCTGCAGACCCCAAGGTCAGTGCAGAATGATGAGGAGGAGGTGCTCCAAGCATTGGAGCAGAGATTCGTCTGCAGCCCATGGAGGTCCATGGTGGAGCAGAAGTTCCACCTGCAGACCCTGAAGAGCCCCACACTGGAGCAGAGGGATGCCTTAAGGAGGCTGTGACTCCATGGGAAGCCCACGTTGGAGCAGCTCCTGGCAGGATCTGTGGCTCCATGGAGAGAGGAGACCATGCTGGAGCAGGACTTGTGACCCTGCAGGTGTCCCATGCTGGAGCAGTCTGTCCCTGAAGGACTGCACATCATGGAAAGGGACCCACAGTGGAGTGGTTCATAAAGAACTGCAGCCTGTGGGAAGGACTCTTCTTGGAGAAGTTTGTGGGGGACTCCACACTGGAGCACAGAAAGAGTACAAAGAATCCTTCCCTTGAGGAGAAAAGAGTGACAGAGCTAACATGTGATGAACTGAACAAAATCCCCATTCCTCTACCCCTGAGCTGCTAAAGGGGAAGAGGTAGAAAAAATCAGGAGTAAAGTTAAGCCTGGGAAGAAAGGAGG